GGATGTGAAGGGTTAGGGGGCCAAAAGAATTTAAAGGGCACATTATCACAATGACATTGCTAAGAAGCATCCTACTGATAGGAGGTAAAGAAGTGACAGGAGAAATCTTCCTATAATGTTACACTCCTCTGGGGCAGCTGCTGCCAATCCTGTAGCAAGTACTAGAACAGGTAGTATAATAGTAGCTCTTGTGCGAGGGACATGAAGCAGGTGTGCAAGAGTGAGAGGATAATCGCCAGGGGAAAGATCATCCTTTTTCTGGGATTGGGGGAAGAGCGGAGGTCCTGGAGCTTTTCAGTTTTGTGGATCCTAAAATGGACGAAGTGTGAGGAGATGTGGGGTTGGGGGTTGAGCAGGGGGACCCCTCTGGCTTGGTGTTAGCAGATTTTTGAGTAAAGTCTTAGGTGCTGGTTTTACCAAGGATAAGTGATACCAAGAGGCCTTTTTTAGTACTTATACTGCCGTGGGGGGTGGTGAGAAATACTGTATAAGGCCCTTCCCAGAATGGTGAGAGGGGCTTTGGGATTCGGGTTTTAATATACACTTGCTGTCCCCGGCTCAGTTTAAAGTCTGAGGGGGTGGTGGGGAAAGGACGAGGTAATAGAAGGTTGGCCTGTTCCCTAAAATCCCTAATGAGTGAAAGAGTAGGGAGATACTGGCCTAAAGGCGATGAACTGGAAGGGAGAGGTGTGAGAGTGAAGGGCCTACCGTACATAAGTTCAAAGGGGCTGAGACCTGTGGGCTTGGGGAGGACAGCCCATAGGCAAGTGAGTGACTGGTGGGTAGGCCAAAACGAGGGATGATTTCTGAGGTGAGAGCATGTGTTACTGCTGTAGCATCCTCTGAAGTGCAGGGAAAAGCCTCAATCCAACCTGAAAAGGTATCTACTAAGGTTAGAAGACAGTGTGTCCCTTTGTGGGGAGAGTAATATAAGGGCTGAAGAAGGTGTAGTAGGAATTCATAGCCTATATGAACTGAATAATGGAAATCTAAAAGGATTTGCTCAGCTTGTGTGGTAAGGAGGGCATAGCAACTGGAGAGAGTATACCAGTTGTCCTTCCTCTGTGCTCCCAACTATTGGAGGTGTTGTATCTCTTGGGGTGTGTATTGGGATAAGGGCATAGGGGCCATGAGAAGGACCTGAGCAGGAGAGGAAGAGTGGGGGCCTGGTGATTGAGCAGCCTGATTTGCAGTTAGATCTACCAGTTTGTTTCCCTGGGCTATGGGGTTGTTGGAGGTTTGGTGTCCTCTGCAGTGTATAACCCCAACCTCCTTTGGGAATTGTGCAGCCTCAATAGCTTGTGTTAGATTTACTATAGCATAACCCACCTTCGGTTTCAGTGACAAATAGTATAAAAGGATGAAGTAGGTTTGGGAGAGATAGAGCTGGGGCTGTGAGGAGAATGGCTTTTAATTGCTGGAAGGGAGAATGAAGAGCCTTGTGGGATCTAAGGGAATGGCAGGATCCCCTTTGGCTGCCCCATAAAGTGGCTTTGCTAGCACGCCCAAGTTAGGAATCCATAGGCAAAGATACCCTGCCTAGAAAGAAAGGATTTCACCCTTTGTGGTGAAAGCCCCAAGAAAGAAAGGATTTCACCCTTTGTGGTAGGAGTAGGGGGTTCAGAAATTAGATTCTTGAAGTGAAGGAGAAGAAATTTGGGCCTTGCTGGGGGACACCCGTTATCCCGTGGAGGCCAGGAAATTAAGGAGAGCAACAGTGTGGGCCTGTGAATCCTCATAGGAGTGGCTACAAAGGAGGAGGTCATCCACATATTGTATTAAAGTGCTAGAGGTTGGGAGAAGTTCAGATAAGTCTCGAGCTAAGGCCTGGCCAGAAAAGTGGGGGCTATTCCGAAACCCCTGGGGCAGTACTGTCCCAGTAAGTTGTTGGGAATGACGCGTGTCAGGATTAGTCCTGTACTAAGTGGCATGAGCCATTAGGCCTTATAACTAGAAGGATGGGTATATTGAAAGGCAAGTGGGTAGGCCGTAAGAGATGAGAAGAAAGGAGTTTGTGTATGACAGGTTTAAGCCTATTAGGTGTTTGTTAGCGATAGGGTTCTGTGGGACATTAGGGAACAAAGAGGGGTTCAGCAGTTTAACAAGGATAGGGGAATGGTGCATAGCAACAGAGAAAGAAGCGTCTCATACTAGGTATTGACCTTTTCTGAGGGGGAGGGGAAGGTGGAAGCCTCAGGGGCCAGGTCTGGGTGCGGCCTGTACCAGCAGTATTGTAGCTGGAATTAAAGTGCTTAGGGTAAAAGTAGCTTTGAATTTGAAAAGGATGTCCTGTCCTAGTAAGGGGGCTGGGCATTGAGGCATTATTAAGAATTTGTGTGTGAATTGGGTGTGATATAGGGTGCAGGAAAGGGGTTTGAGCGATCCGTGGGTGGTATTCTGATCCCATGACCCCTAGTATTGTGATAGAGGATGGGGTTGTTTGGCCTGCATATTCAGGAAGGGTAGAGTAAATGGCCCCTGTATTGATGACAAAAGAAATTGGCTTACCTGGTATGAGGCAAGGTACCATGGGCTCACGCGTGGTGATCTCCGTGGGGGCCTCAGACCCTGGGCATCATCAGTCCTCCTCCTGGGCAAAGCCAAGAAGCTCCGGTAGGGATGGCTGTGAAGCCAAAGGCTGTAGGTTGGGGACTGGGCCACTCCCTCTCTGGCAAGTGGCACAATCAATCCCCCAGTGACCTGGCCATTTGCAGTAAGGACAGGTTACGACAGGCCCGTGCCAAGTGGCCTGGTTGATCGCATTTGAAGCAGTTCTCGGGTGGCTTGCCCCTAGAGGCAGCCAGCTTTGGAGTATGTGAGACTTGAATGGCAGTAGCCAGGAGCTGGTATTTGGCCTGATCTCTTTTATAGTTTTTTGAATATCAGGGACTGATTGGGTAATGAAGTGAGAGTGTAAGAGAGCCATGCCTGCAGGGGAGTTTGGATTTATATGTGTATATTCATGTAAAGCCTCAGAGAGGCAGGTTAGGAACTCGCTGGGATTTTCAGTGGATCTCTGTGTGATTTCTCTAAGCTTGTCATAATTGACTGATCATGTTATCCTCGAGATCCTGATCCCCGTGGCCAGCCTGGTGGTCTCAATTTGGGTCCGTGCAAGGAACAGCAACGGCTCCCACAGGCCGCCTATTATTTTGAGCATGTACCTGAGCCACCATCCAGACCTGCTCCCTGTACATGGACTTGGACAGTTCCTTCTGTCCCAGCCATTTCATGGAAGGGTTATATAAAGGCCAGAGCTGAGGTGGGGTTGTTACCTGACAAAGGGGGAGAAGGGGAAGAGGCTGAGGACGAGCATCTGGAGGCCAGGTGTGGGGAAGAGAGAGAAATGTGGAGGGCTGATGGATCAGGAGAGTGATCCGAGTCTGGAAGGAGAGGTCAAGCATGAACTAGGAGAATTTGAGATATAGGACAGTTTTGACAGGGAGAAGAATGTGTTCAGAGATAGGAAAAGGCCTGAACAAGGAATCTCTACAGCTTTTGCAATTTCAGTGAGTGTCTAAATCAAGTGACATCTTGTGGCCACTGGGATCCATTGTAATGAGGCGTTTGAGTTTTAATGTCTCCCTAGAGGCCGAGAAATTGGCCAGGAGACACCCAAGGGCATAGAGCGTAGAGGTTTGGATTGTGGGGATCCCATTTAGAGGGTGAGAAAGGGCAGTCAGTCCTGGTAGAAGAAGCATGCCAACAAAGAGCATCCTCTCTGCTGTCCACCTTCTTTTTGAAAGAAAAGCCATGACCTGCTAACAAAGCATCCTTCAATAGCTGGGGGGCACAAGAAGAGTTCCCTTGGCCAGGCACCTGGGCTTCGTAGAGACCAAAGACATAGAGAGTAGTTGGGGGAACTCGTAGAAGTAGGCAGGACAGACCCACTGACTCACACTGAATTGAGGCCAGTGTTGGACGTGTTGGTCTGAAAGAGCAAAAGTAGAGAGTTTCAGCAGGTCTTGGAAGGGCGGCCGGGAGCCACTCAACCCAAGAGAGGGGATCAGCCGATGGTCCAGCCAAGACCCTTCCCAGGTTTTAGCACCATAATGAAAGAAAGTGAGCTGAGATGCCAGCTACTATTCAAGCTTTATTAAAGAAAGAAATCTGCCAGGCTGTGCTCAGAGTGGGGAACAGCCCAGGGCTGCCCTGAAAATAGTGGACAGCCCCAACAATGGGTTTGCGAGAGTTTATATTAGCTTTTGGGCGCAAAACGTACAGGGGGAGGGACCATTAGGTTGATGTAACTGGGTGGAGAATTGCACCAACGCAGAAGCCAGAAAGTCGTTTCTGTCAGGAGGCTTCACGTAAAGGGAAGCAGGGAGGGGCTTGGTGCTGGAGTGGAAGATGAGGGCGGTGGCTATTTCATGCTGGTCCTTATTGTGTGCACCGTCGTGCCAGCCTCGTCTAAAATCCATCACTTTTGTTCCCTTCCTTTTTAAAATGTCCTTGAATAAAGTTTTATAGGAATTTTTATAGTTTTTTCATATTTCTTACTAAGTTTATACTTGCTTTTTTTTTCCTTTTGGTTTTTGTTCCTATTGTTAATCAGATATTTTTTCATAATATTTTCTAATTTGTTTTTATCACATAGGAATCTATTTTAATGTTGTGAATAGCATTAATAGATTTTTTAATGTTTGGCCCATCTTTGCATTCCTGGCATAGCTGTAATAAATCAGTATGGTTGAGGTGAAATATTCTTTTAATATACTGTTGTATATGGTTAGCTAATACTTTAGGATTGCCACAGGATTTAATGAGACTGGTACAATCTATTTATGTCTTTTTAAAACATATTAAAAATTAAATTCCAAAGACTTTTTTTAGTTTAGATAATGAGGTTGATATTTTTCATAAAGCATATGTCATTTTACTAATTAAACTTACTTATTTGAGCAGTAGGATAGTCAGACTAGCAAGCCAACTTTTCAAGTCCTCAAATAAAGGAGAATATGTAAGTTTATTTCAATATTAATTGAAATGTTTTCCTGCAGGTTACTGCTCCAAGATAATCAAAATGTGGAAGCACTAAGAATGCTGGCTCTTTACTATTTGTGTAGGGAGGGGGATATAGACATGGTAAGTTGTATAGTATTATTTAAGTTCCCTGTATTAAGAAATATATTTTCTTCCACATGCACACATACATATGTGCATATACATACTTACACGTATACATTGGAACCTTGAAGTTCTCTTTTAGATTTTATGTCATGGTGGTTTTTAGTTGATTACTAAAAATACATCTTAACAAAGAGGTTAGCTCCTTAAATCAACTAGTAAAGCAAAAATATTTAGTTAAAATTACTCTCTAAAATCCTTTAAATCATTAATTATAGTATATGTGGTTTTCTATGTAAAACTCCTGTCCATTAATATATGTAATTAATATAACCAATGTTAGTAGTATGAAAGAGTGCACATACAAAATATAATTTATAGTATTTTTGCAATTTAATTGAATTTGCATAAGTCAAATGTGTTTAGGATAAAATCTTATCCTTAAAATAAAGTGCATCTATTTCTGTAGTAGTGAACACATTGACTGTATACTGGATTATGGAGTGCCAAAATCCACTTTGAAGCAAATAGTATTGTACAAGTAGCAAATTTGCACTGTGTTTGGTGTGGTTAAATTGGCTAATGTGACAGTGTCTGATAATTACTTAGATAAATACTAGAAGAATCTTAGCAGGGGAAAAATCTTTAATAAATTGCTGAGGCATTTTAATTACTTATACTAAGTATCTTAATGATTTTTCTATTATAGAAAACATTTTAAATATAAACCAGTCCATCCATATAGGCAATTCAAGGGCTGATCTCACATAATATGTAAATATGTTATCATTCAAATCTCATTTGTGTCGTGAATTATTGGAGAGGATGTGTGGCATGTACAGTCAATTGAATATTATGGGTATCTTTACCCATCCAGAGGTTTGCATTTGATAACAGATATTTAAAAAAAAAAAAAAAAAAAAAATTCTAGAACTCAGGAGTTCTTTATAATTATTGAGCTTTTTAGAAGAATTTTTAATATGTCTTACAACATATTTTATTGAAAAAGGAGGAATTTGTAAAAGCAAAGGTCTTTTAAAGTATTAGTAATAGTATATTTTATTAGTATATATATGTGCATGTATTATGTTCTTTTTTATTTTTAGTATATTTTAAAAGTAATACTGATTACTTTTGTTTTAGGCTAACACCAAGCTGGAAAGCTTAGGCAATGCATTGTATGCCATGGAACCACAAAATGCTCAGCTTTTTTATAAGATGACAATAGCCTTCAGCAGAACTGTGAGTGCCTACTATGTATTAGAGCTCTGTTATCTATAGCAGAGAATATAAAATAAGTCAAAAAGTCTGAGGCACCAAAGAGCATATGGCCTAGAGTGAAAATATGATTTGTATTAAATATATGATACATTCCTAAGAAAAGTGACTCATAGAAAATATGGTTTCTGACTATAAGAGGCCATCATGGAGGCTTTATAGAGGAAGTGGCACTTGCTGAACCTTTATTATGGGTAAAGAAATGCCTTCTAGGCAAAGGAAATAGAAAGTGGTTTATTTTGATCAGAGCATAAGTCTTATAACAAGAGTTGTTCTTTACTTTTTAAAACTATTTGAAAAAAAAAGTTTTAAAGTGGGTAATAGACTATTTTCGTAGAGGAAATGGTTGGGATCGTATTTTTTTTTAAATAGAAACAAAGAAATGTTTTTATTTTAAGCACCTAATAAAAAGTAATCAGGAAAAGAGTAGAAAAATACAGCAGACTCTCCAAATCAATACAAGGAATGAGAGGATTGAAAAATTAATTAAACTAGCAAAAAATAGGGAAAAAGATACACGTAAATAAAATAATGAGCAAAGTTGAAAAAAAATGAGGATTATTATTAAATGACACAAATATACTGAGTTCTCTTACTTAAATCAAAGATTGTCAGATTGTGTAATTTAAAGAAAGAAAAATCCCTGCTATTACAAAAGTTTGAATTAGGTAGGGTATTTACCCTTTTTTATTTACCTTATTGCAAGACACAGTATTTACATTAGTTTTTTAATAAACTTACAGAAGTTATTTAAACTTTTTCAAACATTTAAATAAGTATTTTACTCTTAAGAGTTGTTTTCAAAAGTTATATACTTATTCTTACAACATTGCCATTTTCTTGGATATTTCTGAAGTTCTTTTCACGAAGATTCTAAGGTGATCTTTTTAAATGTCCTCAAGTGGCTTCACAGCTTGTCTTTAAGGGGAAAAAAGTTCTTAGTCCTAGTTTTTGATCAGTTATATAGATATCCTTCAAATAATAGTTTTCATGTCTAATTTGTAAAACAGTCACAAGACAGTTTGAAAAAGGAGTTCTAGAAAATACGTTTGTGCAACAAAATCATTAGAAGTGTACTTTTCAAGCTGTCTTGTTAAAGCATTATTCATTAGGATATATAAGTTCTGGTAGGATATAAACTCCTTCTTGATGCATTGTCTAGATAGTTAATAGAGGTTTTATTTTTCTTTGATTATTAAATAATTTTATTCCTCCTTTGCTCGCATGAAGCACAAGTAACGTATGTATTTAGGAAAAAATAATCCTTCAATCTGAGTAGAAGTGTTTGACTTCTTGTCTCATTTAATTTTTTTTTTTCTTTTTAGTGTGGACGTAATCAACTCATTCTTCAAAAAATGCAAGCATTACTAGAAAGAGCTTTTAGTTTAACTCCTCAGCAATCAGAATTTGCTATAGAACTTGGATACCAGATGATTTTACAAGGAAAAGATAAAGACGCATTGAAGTGGTATAAGACTGCCATGACACTTGATGAGACTAGTATCTCTGCACTAGTTGGTATGACAACTATTACTATAATGTTTCTAATATAGGTGCACGGAATAATTGCTTTAAAATACCTGCCATTAAAGAAAAAAAATATTTTTGGTGGTTTTCTAAAATTAAACTGATATCTCCACTATCTATGACAATAGAAAAAGTTATACATATTTAAAAATAAAATTTTTTCTTCACTAGTAATAGAGTAGATTTTTATGAGGTAGTTCCTATAAACTAAAAATTTTTTTTGGTAAATGATTTTGTACTGTTCCAGGGCTACTCATTTTACTTTCTTTCATCCTTTTCTTTTTCCTCTCACTTTTTGTTGTGTTTTTTTAATCTAAAACTTTAAGTATTATGATGGGGAGAAAACCTGGGGGTTTTTTGTTTTGTTTTTTTCTGACTGGTAAGGGGATCGCAACCCTCGGCACGGTGCTGTCTGCACCACACTCAGCCAGTGAGCACACCGGCCATCCCTATATAGGATCTGAACCCATGGCGCTGCACTCTCCCGAGTGAGCCACCGGGCCGGCCTGAAAACCTGTAAATGCTGTTTATGTTAGCTTGAAGTGTACATACTTGAATTGGTGTAGTCTTTGACTATGTTTGTCTGGTTTTAGGATTTATTCGTTGTCAATTAATAGAAGGGCAATTACAAGATGCAGATCAGCAGCTAGAATTCCTTCGTGAAATTCAGCAGTCCATTGGAAAATCTGCGGTACGGTATTTTATTTTAACAGATTGTAGTTCCTAGCTACTATTTGTAAGGTATGAAATTTTAAATTAGTCTTATTATTTAGTAATGGCTTTAAGGGACAAATGTACACTAGTTTTAATATGTAATTGCACTTATTAATTTACCTCCATGCAAAACTAGAGTTTAAAAATTCTTCTGAATGATTCTAAATGTCCAAGTTAATATTTAAGTTTGAGCATATACTTACATATAAATACCACTTCATATACATTTGAAATCTAGGTGGAAATAAATGTCTTTATAACTGAATGTAATAATTTATGAAAACTATTTATTTTCCAGGAATTAATCTATTTACAAGCAGTTCTTGCTATGAAGAAAAATAAACGACAAGAAGAAGTTATTAATTTGTTAAATGATGTCCTGGACACTCATTTTTCATGCTTAGAAGATTTACCTCTTGGCATACAGTATTTTGAAATGCTAAATCCTGATTTCTTGTTAGAAATTATAATAGAATACCTGAATTTCTGTCCAATGCAGGTAAGTAATTCTGGGACTTATTTTCAAGGATTCATTTACATGATGTTTTATAAAAGATGCTATATGTAAAGAAAAAAAAATGTATAAAAGGTGCTAATAAGTTAGCTTTGATGTGTTAGACTATATCAGCATCTTAAAGTGGTAGTATTTGTGTCTTCATTAGTTGAATAAGAATATTTAATTAGAATATTTATAGTAACAACTGCTAGCAACTAATAAAAGTATTGATTTGTAAATATTAATTTGTAATTTGTAAAATCTTAAAATCTTCAGTTTAGAAAAACTGTTAAAAATCATCTAATTTAGATAACAATCCACTCTGTAACTTCACCATCAAGTACCCATTGTGCCTCTGGACACACTCAACAATGGAGTTTTTATTGCATAATTATGATTATTAGTCTGTATTTCCTATGTTAAGTCAACTCTGCTTTGTGTTAAAAAAAAAAAAAAAAAAAAAAGACCATTTACTGGTTTTCCTGTTACCTGCAGTGACATAGAGCAAGTTCAATTACTTAATCAAAACAGGTGTCATTCCTCATACATTAAAATAGACTTTCAGATTTTGATATTAGTTGTCATGTTCCCCCAAACAATTCCAGGTTTTTTACTGCTTATTTTTTTTTATGTGACATAGTTTTGAGAACCGTGGTTGTGAACCTGGTTATTTTGTCAGTGCTTCCTCTTAAGCTTACTATTCCAAATATGGGTTTGACCTGCAAAACCTAGAGTAGACCCTTTTCTCCCTTATTCTGGATGTCTATCCAGAATTCTTCTTGTGAATCACATTACATTATTGAACCCCATTGAATGAACAGTAACTAAAGTCCTTAGATCTGTTGCTCATTTTACCTTTGCACTCAAGTGTAGGACTGTACATTTATTCCTATGAAATTTTGTCTTCTCATATTTATCCCATAATTCCAGATTATCATATTGTCATCTGTTTTTTTAGCTTTTCTGGTTTTTTGTTTTGTTTTGTTGGTGGCTAGCCTGTACGGGTGATCCAAACCCTTGACCTTGGTGTTACCAACATCATGCCCTAACCAAGTGAGCTAAGAGGTTGGCTTTTTTTTTTTTTTTGGCAGCCAGCTGGTAACAGGGATGGAACCCTGGACCTTGGTGTTATCAGCACCACTCTCTCTAAGCAACTGAGCTAACTGGCTAGCGTCATCTGTTTCATATGGGTCCTTATTGTCTGTCATCTAACATCTGCTTTATCTAGCTCTGAGACAATCATGATGGTCTTATCCAAGCATTAACAGTTTTGAACAGAGGATCCAATCTTTCCAAATTGATGCAGATCCATTAATCAGCTTTTTTTTGTTACTGACAGTAAGCAGATACAACCAACCTGACTTTATCATACTCAGCTCACATTTCAACACAGGGATATCAGGAGGGGCACTCTCAAATTCTTCATTGCTAAAATCAAAGTTCTTACTATTCTCCCTGATCTACAGCTTCAATAACTATTAACAAGAGAAATGAGATAAATGATGCTCCCTTAGGGAACCCATACTGCTTTTTATTGATTATCATGTCCTTTTCCTGGCTTTTATAACTTTTTAAAAAATCCGGCCCCTCCCAGAATTATATCTGGGATTGATCTCATTATTCCCAGTCATGATCTAATTTTAGTTGCTCAGAAGTTGGAATGTATTTTTCAGTATTCATTCACTACTCTCAATTCATTCCACAAATGTTTATAGAGTATCCAGCACTCTGCTCGGAGCTGGGGAAATACTCATGTAAAACAAACTACATCCCTTGCCCTCTGGAAGCATATATTCCAACAGGAGAAGACAGATAATGTAATTAAGTTGATTATATAATATGTTAGAAGATGACAGAAGAAAAGAATAGAGCAGAGTAAGGGTGATGGTCATTTTAGATAAAGTAGTCAGGGTAGGCCTTATTAAGAAGGTAAGATTTGAACAAAGACTTAAAGGAGACATGTAGAAATATGGTATTTCAGACAAAGTTAGCAGTTGGTGCAGAAGCCCAAAGGGACACAAGGAGGTGATTGTGGCTGGCACAGATTGAGGAGGAGGGAGTAGTCACAGATGAGGTCATAGCACAGGGAACCAGACAAAGTAGGGCAATAGAGGTTGTTGTAACTCCTCTGGCTTTAATTCTGAATGTAATGGGGTGTCACTAGAAGGCTTCCAGCACTATCGTAGTCAATAAAAATTTTAAATTTAAAAACTTAAAATTTTAAAGGATTTCTCTGGCAGCTGTGCTGAGAATAAACTTTAGTTGGAGCAAGAAGTAATGTATTAAGTGGTAGTTGCGTCTCTAATTGAACTAGACATCTTATTTTTTCCGTAATATAACCTTTATCATCATGATAGAACCTAATCAGCATTTATAATGCTGTTTTCATTGGGAAATATCAGAAAGGCAGAATTGTCTCTCTAGCTCTGTTCCTACTTCTTTGGCCCTTTGGTAGATTGTTGCTTTGCGTTGCTTCACCCCCCACGGATTTGTCACCCCACTTCCCCTGGGTGATGGAGATGCAAAGGATTACTCAAAGCCCATCTCTTCCGAGCAGAGAGAAGCCCCAAAGTGGTTAACTTTCCCAGGACCCTCCAGCAAGAGGGATCTCTTCCTTTGGAAAATTAATGCCAAATTGGGGTTCTCTTCCTGCATTTATTTTCCAGACCAGGAAGTTACAGGAAGAGAACAAAGGTGGGGTTAAAGTTTAACAAGATAGGCTGGTAACTTTCAATGAAACAAGCCAGATGACGTTCTAGTAAGGCAACTAAGTGGTCCTATCAACAACAGTTTGATCTTAGCAAACATTCCTTCTTATAGCAATTTCTC